AGGAAAGGAAGTTGAAGAAGCCACTGACCCTTCACACCTTGAAGCTCAGACAGGACCAGAAGAGAAGGTCCAGAGCAATGAGTCTGCTGAAATCAAACCGGATGACGCAACACCTGTAGCAGACCTTGGAGCAACAAAAGTCAGTGAACCAGTTTCAGTTCCAACTTATGTTCCCCCATGCAAGAGAAGGAGTGAACCGATTGAGCCTCCTTTTCCACAGAGGTTGAAAAAGCAACACGAGGATAAGCAGTTTAGCCAGTTTCTTGACTTGATGAAACAACTTCACATAAACATTCCTCTAGTAGAAGCTCTGGAGCAAATGCCTTCGTATGCAAAATTTATGAAGGACATTTTGTCAAAAAGAAGAAAGATCGAAGAGTTTGAGACCGTAGCCCTCACTCAACAATCGTGCAAGTACCTGACTAAAATTCCTCCCAAACTAAAGGATCCTGGTATATTCACCATCCCGTGTACAGTTGGGAAGAACTATCTTGGTCGAGCACTTTGTGATCTGGGCTCAAGTGTAAATCTAATGCCAGCTTCCATCTTCAAGCAGCTTGACATAGGAGCAGCAAGACCAACCACAGTCACTCTTCAACTTGCAGACCGATCTATAGCCAAGCCAGAAGGAAAAATTGAGAATGTCCTTGTCCAAGTAGACAAGTTCATTCTACCAGCTGACTTCATCATCTTAGATTTTGAAGCAGATCAAGAAGTTCCAATAATTCTAGGCAGACCATTTCTGGCTATCGGTGATGCTATCATAAATGTCAAAATGGGTGAACTTTCTATGAGTGTAAACGGAGAAGAAGTGAAGTTTAATTTCATGAAAGCAATAAGGTTTGATGAAGATAACACTGAGGAATGCTCTAGCATTTCGATCCTTGACTCGGTCATAAGAGAAGAACAACAGGAGCATTTGCAGCCAGAGATAGGCATGAAGGACTTTGAAAAGCTGGAAGAATACCTTGCATCCATCAGTTTCCACCAACCCCAGGGAAGGAAAGAAAGGGTCTTTGAATCCTTAAACCGATCAGAGCAGGAGCAAAGACCGAATTGCCTTCAGTAGAGCAACCACCTACCTTGGAGTTAAAACCCTTACCTGAACACCTGAAATACACTTATTTGGGTAAAGACAACACTCTCCCTGTGATTATTTCTTCTTTGCTAACCCATGAACAGGAACTTCAACTCACACAAAAGCTCAAAGATTACAAAGGAGCAATCGGCTGGACCATGGCTGACATAAAAGGAATTAGCCCAACAATTTGCATGCACAAGATTTTGCTCCAACTGGGAAAGAATTCTTTTGTTTCTTAGATGGGTATTCGGGATACAACCAAATCCCGGTTGCTCCTGAAGACCAACACAAAACCACTTTTACGTGCCCCTTTGGGACGTTTGCATTCAGAAGAATGCCTTTTGGGCTATGTAATGCCCCTGCAACTTTTCAAAGATGCATGTTTGCTTTGTTTACTGATTTGGTAGGAGAAGCAGTAGAAATTTTCATGGATGATTTTTCTGTCATTGGTTGCTCTTTCTACTTGCCTTAATAACCTTGAACAGGTATTGAAAAGATGTGTCAAGAGCAATTTAGTGCTGAATTGGGAAAAATGCCACTTCATGGTAAGAGAAGGCATTGTGCTAGGACACAAAATCTCAAGCAAGGGCCTCGAGGTGGACAAGGCTAAGGTGGAAGCAATTGAGAAGCTACCTCCCCCTACCACAGTAAAAGGGATCAGAAGCTTCTTGGGACATGCTGGGTTCTACAGACGTTTCATTAAAGACTTCTCCAAAATCGCCAAACCACTTTGTGAACTTCTGGAGCAAGACAGGAAGTTCAATTTTGATGAAAAATGTTTGACAGCCTTCCTGGAGCTCAAGTCGAGGCTGGTGTCCGCACCCATCATTCAAAGCCCAGATTGGAGTCTTCCTTTTGAACTAATGTGTGACGCCAGCGATTTCGGCTTGGGAGCAGTTCTTGGGCAGCGAAAAGACAAAGTCTTCAGAACTGTTTACTACGCTAGTAGAACTCTTACCGGCACAAGCCAACTACACAGTGACGGAGAAGGAGATGCTGGCAGTTGTATTTGCATGTGACAAGTTTCGTTCATATCTAATATGCTCCAAAGTCACAGTATTCACTGATCATTCAGCAATCAAGCAACTCTTTGCTAAGAAGGATGCCAAGCCAAGACTAATTAGATGGGTACTGTTGCTCCAAGAATTTGACCTTGAGATCAAGGACCGGAGAGGAAGTGATAACAAGGTGGCTGACCACCTATCTCGATTAGAGAGGGCAAGCCCACAAGAAGGAGATCATATCAAGGAGACATTCCCTGATGAGCAGCTTCTGATGATCTCTGAAAAACAAGCTCCTTGGTTTGCAGATATTGCAAACTACCTGGCTGCCGGAATAGAGCCATACCACTTGAATCACCAAGGGAGAAAGAGGTTCCATCATGAAGCTAAGCAGTATTTCTGGGACGACCCTTTGCTCTACAAAAGGTGTTCTGACCAATTACTTCGAAGGTGTATCCCTGAAGGAGAACAACAGAAAATACTGGAGCAATGCCACAACTCCCCTTATGGAGGACACTTTGCTGGAGCAAGAACAGCAGCTAAAGTGCTGCAGTCAGGTCTATACTGGCCCTCCTTGTTTAAAGATGCTAATGTTTTTGTTAAAAAATGTGACAGGTGCCAGAGAACAGGGAACATTACAAGAAAGCATGAAATGCCCCTTGTTCCAATAATGGAGGTTGAATTGTTCGATGTATGGGGCATTGATTTCATGGGGCCTTTCCCACCTTCCTTTGGAAACAAGTATATACTTGTTGCAGTTGACTATGTGTCGAAATGGGTAGAAGCTGTTGCTACCCCCACCAATGATGCCAGGATAGTGCTGAAGTTCATCAAGAAGAATATTTTCACTCGATTTGGAACCCCTAGAGCAATTATCAGCGACGGGGGTACACATTTCGTGAACAAACAATTCCAATTGCTCCTGAAGAAATATGGAGTGCAGCACAAAATTGCCACCCCTTACCACCCACAGACCAGCGGGCAGGTAGAGGTGTCCAACAGGGAGATAAAAAAAATCCTGGAAAAGGTCGTAAACCCAGATAGAAAAGATTGGTCCAACAAATTGGATGATTCCCTATGGGCGTATCGAACAGCTTATCGAACGCCCATTGGCTGCTCCCCCTATAAGTTGGTGTTTGGAAAAGCGTGTCACTTGCCTCTGGAACTTCAACACAAAGCATTCTGGGCCATCACATTGCTAAACATGGATTCCAGAATGGCTGGGGAAAAGAGGTTGCTCCAGTTGGTTGAACTGGAAGAATTCCGGAGCAAGGCATATGAAAACGCCAACCTCTACAAGGAGCAGATGAAAAAGTGGCACGATAAAAAGCTTATCAAGAGAGAGTTAGAAGTTGGAGACAAAGTGCTGCTGTATCGATCCAGATTGAAACTGTTTCCTGGAAAGTTGAAATCAAGATGGGAGGGACCTTATGCAATCACTGAAGCACTTCCCAATGGAGCATTTACCATTGCTCATGAAACATCTGGAGCAACGCTCAGGGTAAATGGACACAGACTCAAAAAGTATAATAGAGGGATCAAGGAGCATGAGAGACTGACTTCTCATCTCGATGACCCAGCTGAAGTCTGACCCAAGGAGCAACAAGTCGAGCTAAGACTATAAACGAAGCGCTACTGGGAGACAACCCAGATTTATTTCTACGTCATTCTTTTTATTATTGTCTTTGTTTGAGAAAATTAATGTGCTAACCATTGCAGGAAGCTAGTTTTGGGGTTGCTCTTGAGCAACCTGATCCCAAAAGCAAGGAGCAACCAACACTTAGAATTTGATCCCTCAATGTTGAAACCAAGTTCTAATTGGGCTGATCCACTTGCCCCTTTTAACCCAAGGGCCTGCAATGGGCCGCATGCGAAAAAAAAAGAGAGAGAGAGAAAACCGAGTGGCGGAAGCAACGGAAGGATAACAGCTCCACGTCGTGCTGTCACATCCCTCCAATCAAGCGGCAGTAGCAGTTTCAAAAAGAAGAAACCGTCAGAGCAGAGGACAGTTGCTTTCCCCCAGGCATTTATGTGCAGCAGACGCTCTTCTCCCCCCATATCCACCACTCAGCAAAGCCACGATCACCACCATACAGAGCGTTTTAACCTTCCCATCCTCTCCTTCGTTCCTTTATAAACAAACACAGAACTATTATTTCATTCTCATAATCTTTTCTCCTTCAACCCACAAAAATCCAACCTTTACTCCCCACTCCATCCCTCCTACTCAGAACCTTACACCATGACACGTCCAAAGGCCATTATACCTGTTGCTTCTATCTCCAAGAAGAGGACCCGAACAGGGAAAAAGCTCAAGCCTGAGCAAACCACAGTCGACCGCACAGTCATACCAGAACGGGGCATAGTCCTCAGTAGCTCCAAACACGGAGATCTCGACCGATGGCTGACCGAGGATATAGCAGAACTGGATTGGGAACTCTTCGTTGAGCCTCCCTCAAGAGCTCGCACCGAGTTCGTGACTGCATTCTTGGAGGGGATGAAGAAAGAAGATCTCCCAAAACTCCTCATCAGAGGCGTGAAAGTAGACTTCTCCCCTGAAGAAATCAACGAAGCATACAACACTGCTTCAGTTCCTGCTGAACAAGATGAGTTCGATAGATACTGTGCTGGCCGAGGAGATGAGGCCATAACTGGAGAAGTGCTCCGAGAAATAGGCTCAGAAGGAGCAACCTGGGGAACCAAGGAATCCATCCCTAGGAAGCAACTCAAATTCGAAGCAAAGGTATGGATGCATTTTATTAACTCCCGTCTGATTCCCGTGAGCAATGACTCTAGAGTAAACTGGGAAAGAGCAGTGCTGGTCTTCTGCATCTTGACTAAGAAGAAGTTTGATGTTGGGAGGATTGTTTACAAACAACTGGTGGCAAATGCACCAAGAAACTTAAAGGCCAATATCCCGATTTCGGATGAAATCATTCCAGAAGGGTCGGACATTGATCAGTCCACGATAAAAAGAATCAGAGACAATGAAGGATTGGAAAGTGAGGAGGAAGAAGAAAAAGAAGAGAAAGAAGAAAAAGAAGGAAAGGAGGAAGAAGAAGAAGCTGAAGTTTCGGGCAATGTGAAGGAAGAACCTCAGAAAACTCCAAGAAGGGAAAAACTTCCCTTTAAGAGAGCTCCTGCAAAGAGTGGACGAAGGCAGTTCCTAGTCGAGACAACTGACATGACTCAATGTCAAACTATGTTCGGTCTCGGAGCAGACCTTCTAGCCACTCAAGTGCAAGCCTTAGAAGACACAGTTGGAAGGGAGCTGCAATCTCTGAAAGAAGCCAGCTTGCTCATTAACAAAGAAAAGGTGGCCCTGCAGAATGAACTTGACCAGATAAAAAATGCTGGACCACTGCCTCTGAAAAGGAAGATTGAGGAAGGAGAAGCCTTGCAAAACACGGTGAAAGACCTGGTGAAAGCAGTAGAGATGATGAACAAGAAAATGGAAGAAAGGGAGCAAGCCCACGAAAAAAACAGAAAAGACTGGAAGGAGGAGATCGGGCTCTTGAAAGATGAATTGATGAAGAACAAAGAGGAGGAAATTCAACTCCGATTGTACTACAGAGCTCGGGATCAAATCTTCGCCAGTAACTGGGGAGAAAAATTCAAGGGACAAACTCCATATCCACCGTTTCCAAATGTCTTCCCTTCTTTTTGCCCAGGATTTTGCTCCTTGAGATGCCCTAAAGAGTTTACAGTTTCTAACAAAGCAACATAGGGCATCACTCTGATTTGGAGCAACACCATGCACAAAAAGCAGCACTCCAAAAATCGGACACTCTGTTATTCAGTGGACTTATTGAGTTACCAAGGAAAGAACTTCAGGCTATTTAAATAAATTACTCTGCCCCTGGTTTAAAAAAAAAAAAAAAGGTCAGCTCATCTGCTCCAAAAATTTCGCTCAAAGAGCTCAAGTCATCAAGGTGAGAGCAAGAGCCGCTCAAAGAGCATACTGTTGAAGGTCAGCCTTATGCAAAGACAAGGGTAATTGACTTCCAGTTAAAAGACCTGAAAAGAAAGAAACAGAGAAGGGAGCTAAGAAGTAAGAGAAGAAATCAAGCCAAAAAGTTTAATCCGGAAGCAACTTTGTGGGAAACTGACTAAAATAGTGGAAGAGGTCACACACACAATGAAGCTGGTGAAACTCACAAGTCAGATGAGTGCTCTAATGAAGCGATGGAAGGAGTTAAGTTAACTCTTCATCGATAATCTCAAGGAGCATTAGCCTGCCACAAGAAGACTGTTGGTTGTGAAGGATTACTCGGGACGAGTAATATCTAGTTTTGGGGTGTTGATGGTCCTTAAGAGTTGAGGCCCATTAAGTGTAAATTGTTCCACAAAACCCATGTTTTGGTTATAAATCACTCCCTTCAACCATCTTCTTTCCATATAGAGCAACTGTTTTGAATAGTGGACCAGAGCAATACCGAAAGTGGGAGTTAAGGTAGACCTGGAGCAAATTTAACATTATCTTTTTCACATATGACTATTGGGTTAGTTTGCTTTGTTCAGGACACCTAAGGCCCATCAGAAGGAACCACAAAATGAAGAGAGAAGAAGGAGTGTTGCGCAGAAAGAAAAAAAAGCCTGCTGTAGTACAACAGCAGTCAAAGGAAGCAATGGGAAGCCGTCACGTCAGCCACAGCAGAGAAGGTGGAGGTGCTACCTCTGCTACAATATGAAAGCAAAGAAGCTGCGCAATCAAAAGCCGCCACGTCAGCTGCAGCAGAAGGAGTGGAGGTACCTCCCTGAATCCGATACTCCCACTCACAAAGGGAGCCAAAAGCAAGGGGGACCACTTCCATTTAAGGCCAAGCTGGCAAAAAGCAAGGCTACCACTGGAGAGGATTTCTATTCGGAGCTGAGCTGGCAAGAAGCAAAGCTACCACTGGAGAGGATTTAAACAAAGCACGACCCTTGATGAAAGGAACAATGAAGATCAAATGAAGAACCCTATAAAAGGAACAAGCAATCCTCATAAAGAAAATCATCAGCGCCCATCCTAGGACTCGTCATCTCTTTGTTTTCTTTTTGTAAAAATGCTCACTAGGAGCTAACTTCCTCTAAGTAGGTGAGGGTTCCATAGAAGTAATCCCTTTTGTCTCAGGATAACTTTGTAAGGAACACATATTTTATAAATGAATTTTGAGTTGCTCTTTGGTTTAATTTATTGATTTTGTGAAACCCTTTGGGCTGGCAACCTCATCCCGGGACCACTCGGTTGATGAAACACTGACAAGGGCGTGTGGAGCATTCTCAAGATCCTGGGGTAGTTTAGCCTGAAGAAAGGAGGGAGAAACACCTGGAATGGGGAGCACTGCCATGTGAATCCATGCTCTTTTGAGAAGGCAGCATGGTTTCCTTGCATATAACTCCAAGTACTATGGAGTAACGTGGAGAGTAAAGCCTTACCCTCTGCTTACCTATAGCAAAACAAGGGAAAGAGCAAAATCCACTTGTAAAATATGCTACCAAGCAGGGTTAACCAAAGGGATGAAAACATGGAACCCGTAACACCTACTTGACTTTTTCTTAAATTAATCTTAACTCAAACTTCTATCACAACTTTTTCCTCACAATAACTGAACTGTGGTTTACCAGCTGATGCTCTTACTTTCATTTCATTGACTGCTCTTGAAGTTACTTAAATTGATGCCTTTTTATTCGATGACCGTGCTAAGTCATTCACTGCTCTCATCTGGTTCAGAATGGTTAATATTGTTTAACTAGCTGCCCAGAGATTGCTCTTTGTGAAGCTTAGCTGAGAATAGTACTTTCTTTTATTGCTCCATTTTACAAATTAAGTTTCCTTTAGCGCTTCTTACTTCACAACTGCTCCCTGAGGACGATAAATCTGGGGCTACAATACCCTATATTGCTTGACACGTACGCTTGCGTATAGTTGAAGAGGGTTGCTCTTAGTCAGAGTAGATTGCTCCTATTGGCAATCCTGATTATTACTCTGCACTCTTGCTCTCTGAAAAGATATTCCCGAGCAGCTCTCGGGTCGACCAAGCAGAGAGGCGGTGAACTAGTGCTCTAATAAGTGAAGCAAGTTGTTTGATGGTATGGCTTAGGGTTGAGATTTACCTTTTTATTCTGAGACCCCCACACTTGCTTTTTCTCTAAACCAATGAGCACTCTTCGTTCTCTGTTGTACACGTTTCTTCCTGCTTGATTGTTGTACTCTTTTTTTGCTTTTAGAAACTTCTTTTCAACGTTTCCTGCAAATGAGTCAGAGAATAGGTTAGTTGAGCATGTGTATAAATAAGTCAAATCATTCCCCTTTTCTTTCATTATCAGCTGATTACATCATCATCCGTTCCTTTTTGGTGCTTCTGTTCTCAGGATCCGAGAATGTGTTTTTATAGCAAAAATTAGTTACCAGTTAACGGAACGGATGGAATTTCATCATCAAAATGAGCTTGAATGGATTAATAGATTGAATGAATAAATTGTTAGAGTGCAAAAAAAAATTACATAGGGGGAATGGGAAAAAGAAAAAAAGAAGATAGGGGGAATGTGAAAAAGAAAAAAAGAAGAAAGGGGAATGAGCAAAAGAAACAGAAAAAGAAGAAAGAATGAAAAAAAAGGAATATGAAATTTAGGGGGAACAAATTTCATTTGAGTTTCAAAGTAAAAATCCCTTTTTTTGATTGTTAGTCATATGAAAATGGAAACATAGAAAAGTACAAAAAGAAAAAGATATCTTCATGATGGGAAATGGTATTGAGAATATCAAAAGATAAGGTTTAGGGACTATGTATAATTGTACTATCCCTTCTTTATTTTTTACCTACCCTGATACTATTTTATTTTTGTTCATATTCACCTGCTACATTACGAGCTTTAATGTCCTACTGGTTTGGTGGCTTATGAAACATTCTAACACTAAGAGTGGAGAGCAGTCACGAGGTACAAGCTTATGGAAAGATTAGAGAATAAGAAACAAGAGTGATTCTAAAGTCGAGTGGAAAGACAAATTACTGCATTATTATTGTATATGCTTTGGAATATCAACACTAAGAGTGGAGAGCAGTCACGAGGTACAAGCTTATGGAAAGATTAGAGAATGAGAAACAAGAGTGATTCTAAAGTTGAGTGGAAAGACAAATAACTGCATTATTATTGTATATGCTTTGGAATATTTTCCGTTGTTGTCTTTCATCATTTTCTATATTTTTATTCTTCACTATTTTTCATTATTGAGCTATTACTTCCTATACATGCTACCTTGACATCTTTTTTCCCTTATCTTGAGTGTTTACTCGTCATATTTTCGATGATGCCAAAAGGGGGGAAATAGATGCCATATTTTATGATTTATAAATTCTAGTTGTAGCTTAGTAAAGTCAAGGGGAATAGTGTTTATGTAATCATCATTGAGCATTCATGTTATATCTATAATGAATTAGTTTTTCTTGGTACTGATACGAATAAAATACATCAAAGTGAGAGGGAGGACAATCATGTAGTAACTGACAGCATTGCCGAAGGAAGAACAAGAATGGTGATAAGAAAACCCAAAAGGTTCATGTGAGACGAAGTGTAATTGGTATGGGCAAAGTAGTCATATTAGTGTTTGTTAGTTGAGTAGTTAGAGTGACCCACATTGGGTCAGGAACAAAACATGTATAAATAGGATCGCTTGTAACCGTAATGGGTATGAATTTTGTCATTGAAATAAACTGTCTTTTTTCTCATCTCCTTCTTCTTGAATTCTCTATCTCTCTTCTTTGTTTTCTTCCTCAACTGTGTTAGGATAGGTTTCTCCTATCAATTGGCGCTTTCATCGAGCTGAACATGGCCCCTGACACTAGATCACGATCGTTTGATGACCGCTTGGATCACACACAAGCAGAAATCGAGGTTTTGAAGGAACAAATGACAAAGAAATTTCAGGAGATTGCATGCAAGCTTAATGCTATCTTTGATAATCATCGAGACGGCACTGCAACTTCGGGTATGTCACCTAATTCCTCTGTCCCGAAAGATAATCAAGCAGCACGAAATGTTCGTCTCAAGGTACCCAAATTTGATGGGTCATGCGATCCTCAGGGTTGGATCTTCAAGATTGAACAATTCTTTGAATTTTACAACATTGATGTGGAACAGAAGCTTCGAATCGCTCCAATTTATTTTGATGGCAAAGCTCTGGCCTGGTATCAATGGGTACGCAAGAACACCAATATTGCTTCGTGGGAACCCTTTATTCAAGCATTACAGGTGCGTTTTGGTCCATCAGAATTGGAAGACTATCAAGGACAGCTTTCCAAACTCATACAGAAAGGATCCGTCCTAGAATATCAAGAGGAATTTAAAACTCTCTCAAATAAGGTAAACGGTTTATCTGAATCATTTTTGCTCAGTTGTTTTGTATCAGGGTTGAAACCTATAATTCAACAAGAAGTAGCCTCATTCCGTCCATCTTCGATGACTAGAGCAATTTCACTAGCTAAGATCCAAGAAGCAAAACTATCCTTAAAAGAGGTACCACCTAAACCACAATCTTCATATCCACCTAAACTGCATTCCCCTTATCCACCCTTACTTCGTACACCCAAAACTTCATCCACTCAATTTACCCCAAAACCCATTTCTACTGCCAACCCCAATTATCAACCAAAACCATGGACCCAGAAAATAACCCAGAGCCAAATGCAAGAACGTAGAGAAAAAACCTTTGTTTCACATGTGGTGAGAAGTATTTCTTTGGCCATAAGTGCAAAGCTTCGGTCCATATTTTAATTGTACCAGATGAAGAGAATTCTCAACTCTCAGATGATCCTACGACAGAGGAACCCCACTTTAGTGATTGGACTCCAACTGATTGCAGTGAATCAGTTACACCACAAATTAGTCTCCATGCCTTATCTGGAGTTATGATACCTCAAACATTACGGTTTACTAGCTACATTGGAAAATTCGAAATGAGTCTGCTAGTGGATGGTGGCAGCACTCACAACTTCTTACAACCCAAAGTTGTAGCAGCTCTCAACTTACCAATGTCCTCTGATCAGCAATTTGATGTTATGGTGGGCAATGGCCAAATCCTCAAATGTGAAGGTTTTTGCCAAGCTGTCCCTGTTCAGATACAACAACATATTTTCCTAGTGGATTTTTATGTTCTTCCCATACAAGGTGCAGACATGGTCCTGGGAGTCCAATGGCTTCAAATGCTGGGACCTGTGGTATTGGATTATAGCAAACTCACCATGGAGTTTGCATGGGCAGGAAACACAATTAAGCTACAAGGTGATAAGCATACAGGTCCTATTTCCTTAAATCAGTTTCGAAAATTATAGCACAAGGACTAGGTAGCTTCTTTGTTTCAACTTACACTGCTGGATTCAGTTATTTCAGCACCTCCACCTGATAATTGTTCAGAAGTCCAACTTATACTCTCAGAATTTGAGGAGTTATTCCTTGAACCAAAAGAACTTCCTCCCCACAGAATACTGGATCATGAGATTCACCTCCAACCACAAGCTTCACCAATTAATGTGAGGCCATATCGATATCCTCACTATCAAAAGGCTGAAATTGAGAAACAAATACAGCAGATGCTAGATTTGGGGTTCATAAGGCTAAGCACCAACCCTTTTTCATCTCCTGTGCTATTAGTCAAAAATAAAGATGGATCTTGGAGGTTCTGCATTGATTATAGAGCTTTGAATACTATCACCATCAAAGATCGTTTTCCTATTCCAACTACAGATGAGTTGATGGACGAGTTAGGTGGCTCACAATATTTTTCAAAGCTGGATTTACGGGCTGGTTATCACCAAATCCGTGTTCACCCATCTGATGTGCACAAGACAGCTTTTCGTACTCATCAAGGTCACTATAAGTTTTTGGTAATGCCTTTTGGCTTAACCAATGCTCCCTCTACATTTCAAGCAACCATGAATCTGATTTTGCAGCCTTTTCTTCGCAAATTTGTAGTTGTATTCTTTGATGATATTTTAATATACAGTCCAACATTGGAGCTGCATTTACAGCACCTTCGATTGGTCCTCACCACTCTACAGCAGCATAAGTTCTTCATCAAGAGGAGTAAATGTTCTTTTGCACGACAAGAGGTGGACTACCTAGGCCATGTGGTGACTATAGATGGCCTTCGGATGGACCCTACTAAAATACAAGTTATGTTGGATTGGCTTGTCCCAAAGAACCTCAAGGAATTAAGAGGATTTCTAGGCTTAACAGGCTACTACAGAAGATTTGTTTGTAATTATGCAGCCATTGCAACTTCCCTTACTGAATTGTTGAAAAAGGATGCCTTTCTTTGGAGTGCTGCAGCTCAACAAGCATTTGAAAAGCTCAAAGTTGTAATGACAACAGCACCTGTATTGCTTCTGCCTGATTTTCAGAAAGAATTCACTGTTGAAACTGATGCTTCTGACTTGGCAGTTGGTGCAGTCCTTCTTCAACAAGAGCACCCGATAGCCTATTTCAGTAAAAAATCGGCTTTGAGGATGCAAAAGGCTTCTGCGTATGTTAGAGAGCTTTATGCAATTACGGAAGCAGTGAAAAAGTGGAGACAGTATCTGTTAGGAAGAAGATTCACCATAAGAACCGACCAGAAAAGTTTGAGAGGTCTTTTGGATCAGGTGATACAAACACCTGAGCAACAATATTACTTGACCAAGCTACTGGGATTTGAATATTCCATTGTGTATAAGCCAGGGAAGGACAATCAAGCCGCGGATGCCTTATCTAGGTACCCTGTTTTCATGTCTCTTATGGCTGCTGCAACGGTCCAAGTTGAGTTACTTGACACTTTAAGACAAGAGAATCATTCTTCCCCCTTCTTTCAACAGATTTATAAGAGCATTGCAGAAGATCCTAGTTCTAATGCACATTATAAGGCATATGATGGCTTGCTGTTTTATAAAGGGAAGCTATTATTGGATCCTTCTTCTCCACTGGTTCATCAGGTTTTACACGAAAATCACTCAACCTTCATGAGTGGTCATACGGGCATACAGAAGACAATGGCCAGGGTCTCTGCTAGTTTCAGTTGGCCCAATTGGAGAGCTGCTGTTAAGGCATTTGTTAGCTCTTGCATAACATGTCAGCAAGTTAAATATCAAAACCAAGCACCTGCTGGTTTGTTGCAACCAATTTCAATCCCTAGCAAAATATGGGAAGATTTATCCATGGATTTTATAGTGGGCTTACCTGTTTCACATGGCTTCACTACTATTCTTGTAGTTGTTGACAGATTATCCAAGCAAGCTCACTTTGGTTCGCTACCCCAGAGGTACACAGCAGCAAAGGTAGCTAACCTTTTTGCCACTATGATCTGTAAACTTCATGGTATCCCAAGGTCTATCATCACAGACAGGGACTCCATCTTCCTCAGCAGATTCTGGGTTGAATTGTTTGTGCAAAGTGGCACCCACTTAAGAAGAACTACAGCCTACCACCCTCAATCAGATGGCCAGTCAGAGGTTGTGAATCGTGTCCTCGAACAATACTTAAGATGCTTTGTTGCAGATTTTCCTAAGAGGTGGTCGAAGATACTGCATTGGGCTGAGTATTGCTATAATACTTCTTACCATTCTGCAGATGGGATGACCCCTTTCAAGGCAGTTTTTGGTCGTGATCCCCCTTCCATCCTAGATTATGTGTCATCTGATACAAGATTAGAAGAAGTAGATACTGCTCTAATGGATAGACAAGCTATCTTACAGCAACTACTAGAGAATTTAATCAAGGCTCAGCAGGCTATGAAGGAGCGAGCTGATCGCAAGAGAAGGGATGTTCAATACAAGGTTGGAGACTTAGTTTGGGTTCACTTACAACCCTACAGGCAGTCTTCAGTGGCAGAAAGAATGAGCAACAAATTATGCAGAAGATACTTCGGGCCATTTCCAATAGCAAAAAAAGTTGGTCAGGTTGCTTATAAGCTTGAGTTACCACCTAATGCAAAGATACACCATACCTTTCATGTTTCTCTTCTCAAACCATTCAAAGGAGACAACTCTATATCTCCACTACCCTTGCCAGACGTGTTCACTAATGGTATGCCAGTTTTAGAACCCCAGGACATTACAGACAGTAGAATCATCGCAGTGGAAGATCAGCAGCAGATAGAGATTAAAGTGCTATGGAGTGGGATGCCACATGAGGTAGCAACATGGGAAGAATTACAAGAATTTAGAAGACAATATCCACATTTTAACCTTGAGGACAAGGTTAGTTTTAATGGGGTGGGTATTGATACGAATAAAATACATCAAAGTGAGAGGGAGGACAATCATGTAGTAACTGACAACATTGCCGAAGGAAGAACAAGAAGGGTGATAAGAAAACCCAAAAGGTTCATGTGAGACGAAGTGTAATTGGTATGGGCAAAGTAGTCATATTAGTGTTTGTTAGTTGAGTAGTTAGAGTGACCCACATTGGGTCAGGAACAGAACATGTATAAATAGGATCGCTTGTAACCGTAATGGGTATGAATTTTGTCATTGAAATAAACTGTCTTTTTTCTCATCTCCTTCTTCTTGAATTCTCTATCTCTCTTATCTGTTTTCTTCCTCAACTGTGTTAGGATAGGTTTCTCCTATCAGGTACATGGCATAAATTGCTTGTCATCATCAAAAAAGGGAAAATTGTTGGATATTTATTATACCCCAATTGTTTAATTGGTTTAAAATATGTTTGGATGATTACAATCAATTTGATGTTAATTTAATTGATAATAATTTATTGTCTTGAAATTACTAATAAGCTGATTGTTTGATATTTCAGAATAATATATATTATGATTTGAATTAGTATTCAAGATAATTGAAGATTGAAGAAGATGTGGAAGATATCATGAAGAGAGAGAAAAACATGAAATCAAGTAAAGTTTAGGATAGATTTTATCTTTTTAAATTTCATGTAAAAGAAATAAAATATTCTTTGTCAAAGATTTAGATTAGAATTGCATTGCATAATAGAACAAGATATTTAATGCTTTACGTAGCAGCCCGTTACGTACCGGTGTTGTTAATATTGATTATGATATTAAGCGCAGTTACAATCACAGCAGTTCATTTAAAAAAAATGCAAGTAAATTTTTTCCTTTGCATTACGTAAGAATTTAAAACAAAAATAAAATGTAATGAGTAAAAGCTGTGATCATAACTAAAAACTAAACGCGGAATAATTAAAATAATTGTCTAACTATCATATAATGCTTCTCTTAAGTCACTAAGGGGTTCCCATAAATCCACTTAGCATAAATCTCACTTTTACGGTTTTTACAAAACTGAACATGGTTCAGTAATCTGGATATTATGAGAGATTAAGTGTTTTAGAATCTCTCATATTTTAGTATGTTATTCTAGACTTAATTGTGTTTCCAAAAAGATATCACACGCTCCATAAATTTCTTGTTTGCTTCGGTTATCACCGTTTGAAGTTGGACAAGCAAAGCTGCCAGCCAACCTCAAACAGGGCTCCAAATAGCCTCTACTATTTCTGCGATTCTGAACAAAATAATTCACCAATTGCTCTCAAATTTTTATAAAATAAACTAGACACCTTTAGCTTCAATTTGACATATCATAGGCCTAATTTGACCAATAATTTAGGATGAAATAAATTTCCCAAACAGGTCACCTGACAGCCCCTGCAACATGGAGTTCTGAACAGTCTGGACTCATATGCCTCTACAGGTCTGCGTACAACTCCAATCGCTTCCACATTTTGAAAAAATATAGTTGACATCTCAATATTCAAAATGGTGTATGACACGTCCCTGTTGGACCCTTGTGGAGGGAGATATGGTCTCCCAAAATTTACCCAAAAATCTTCCATTTTGTAGAAAATTCGACGGCATCTCCTTTGCTTATTCAACCTATCTCACTTTATTAAAAGTGTGTTATTATCCTCAAATGGTACCTAACAGACAAGGGTGGCACTCAAGGACCAACAATGCATTGGTGCTCTTACAACCCATTACAATTTACATCAATTTCCTCACTTTACATTTCATTGTCCAAAAATTAAACTTATTTCAATCACATCATTCCATTGCATGCATTCTTTACATTAAACATAATCATATCCTAAAATAGGCCTATTGCCCTTTCATCATATATCCTGCTTCAATATTACACAAGGTCCAATATTTACAAATTACAATTCTACAATATAAAGCATAATACAACAAGTCCTCCAAATACAACACAATGAAATGAACCTCAAAATATAACATGATAAATGTACAACTAGACTTAGGCAAAAAGATGGTATGAACAAATATGAAAATATGCATAAACCTAAATCCATATACAATGTTCATGCCCTAAGTCTAGCCTATGCCAAATGACCTCAAAATGCAAAACAAACTCTATGTCCAAGTGCTCATCTTGTGGGCCTCTTGCCCACAGCTCCAGCCCCACTGCTACTACCTGAAATAAATGCCCCAACACGGAGTGAGATATACGAATATATCTGAGTAACCCAGAGGTTCTGGAGATTACTCTGCCCAATGGCTCACTCCGATGTAAATCAATAATATATTACAATAACTAAAGAGGGATAAAGCAAGGGATTTAATGAAGTAGGGATGCATATGGAGTAAAAATACGATGAAGCTGGAATAGTCAATGCCAAAGCCACGCAACATCCGGCCTATTGGCCTCGGCATATAGCCTACGGGTTCTCATCCAAGGAAGTGTTCCCAGAACATCAACCAAGGCATCCTCCATCCATATACACTCGAGACATTCCTAGAGTGCTCCTCAACGGATGACACTCCATGACCCCAGGTCAACTAGAACTCCCTCACGGAGACCTATCCAGTGGAAGTCCGTAACGCCCGAAGGCAACAGTCTACTGGCCAGAGACACGGTACATCCTATGTACCCACTACACATACATATATGCATGAGCATGTTATAATACATTATCAACATACACCCCCAACCACTACTCCCCAAGGGCATGGTGGAGCACAAACGGGGATTAACCCCAGTACCAAAGGATTACCTTGTGCAAGCTCCCTCTCTAGGTAGCTCCAAATCAAAATACCACCAAGCTTGGTCCAGCCAGAAATGCCTACACACAGGTCATTCCCATACCAATGAGAACCACATAACCATATCAACTTGGTTACACGAGAATTTATGAAATTTCCATAAGTACTTACCACAATCTTTTTGGTCAAGGACCAAACACGAAGTTCACCGTTCCAAGTTCACGTTCGTGGGAGGCAACCTACAATGATCACACAAGGATCATCAATACCATGCAACTCAAGTTGAATTAAGAGATAAAAACTTCACAATCCCACATACATAAGTTTGGCCATTTAGCCTCAAGATACCTAACCATGTTGTTAATTTTATTACAATGTCCCAATGGTTTCCTAAGCTCACCATAACACTAATTCAAGCCTTTAATTCAATTCAATCACATCTCAATATCATTTCCCTTAAGGTTCCTCATCATGGCCGAATTGACACATACACATCACCCAATGGTTTTGCTTTCAATTCAATGCATCAACTCAACATATAACCTATTTAAACATGATTCACAATCACACAACACCAACTACATAATTTTTACATCATCCATCCTTATTTCTCCTCACATGGCCGAATTGTTCATGCTTGTATACCTAGGGATTTTTGAATCATTTCAACACTTCCACACATCATACAATCCTATAATTAACTCATACAAATACTCCACAACTCAATTACACAATCCTACAACCATTCCATTTCACAAAGTCTTGGATTTCCATCATGAATTTTGCCTAAGTTACCAAACATTTCATCAATAATTTTTATGAGTTCATTCACTATAAAACATTATTCTAAGACACTTTTATCTAATACACATTTTCAATTTAAGGTCCCCAACCCCATCAATCACACATGCAAGATCTAGGGTTCATGAAATCAAATCCAATAAGTCAACCAATGAAATGTGTTGAAACTTACCCACAATCAAGGACTCCTCCACACAATACCCAAGCATTCGAGGATCAAACCACTCCAAGAACATCAACTTTCCACACAATGGCCGCGGACATGGGTCCCCTTTTTCTCCCAATCTAGCGAGTTCCATGCCTTGAAAATACCATGGTTGTGTTTAGGAGGTTGTTTACTTAAAGTTTGATGTAGTGGAAGTTGTGTTTTGATGGAGATTTGGTGGAGTTTGGAGGAGATGAAGTTTTGAGAAAAAACTTGCCCAATGGTGAAGGAGGCGATGGGTTGTAGGAGAGAGAGGGAGTGTAGAAGATGGTGAATAGTGAATGTGCATATGTGTCTTAAGCTCACTTAAGTAGGGTGGGTCCCACCGCCACTTCACGCGATTCAAATTAATTCAAATCTCCCGCTTAATCCACTAAACGTCCTTTAATTCCTAAACTATTTAGAAACTCCAATTTTTAACATTAACCATTATCCTTTAATTGTCCTTGGTCAGATGAATCTGGAGTTTTTCGGTCGTTCGGCGAAATCACAGTTTTAAGCTGTTATGCGCACTGTATGCACGCTTCCCCAAAAACCCTAATTTTAATCAATTCCCATTAGAAATCATAATTCCTACTCCTATATACCATTTATAACTTATTTCCAAACCTAGAGCTCAAAATTCATTCGGCATGCCTTACGGTGCAACTGTACCGCGATATTTTTACCCGGTAAAAACACTATTCATTAATTTTTCAGAAACTTGTCTAACCACTAAATTTTTCGTTCTGAATCCATTTCCATGGTTAGTTTTTCCATTTGAGACCTTCTACTCACATTTCCTTTCCTAGGGGTTACGTGTTCGTCAAATTACCGTTTTACCCTTTTGATGTATTTTGGTTCTAAATTTAGGATTTTCACTAATCCTACCCCTGTAATCCATATTTTAAATATAATAACATGATTTAGAATTACGAGGTGTTATACTTTACATTTTTTATTTAAAAAAAATCAAAAAATGTATTTTTGAAAATCGCATTGTAAATTTAATTTTTGTAAAAGATTTCAAATTTTATTATATCTTTTGGGATTTTAGGAGAGAGAAAATGTTATTATTATAAATATGGCTCATTGCATATTATTCATTAGAAGAAAAAATACAGTATTCGTGAGTGGAGAAAATACAATATTCATGTGAGAAGAATATATAAGAGAGAAAAGAAAGAATTAGATTTTCAAGATTAGGATTCATTATTGTGCATCAATTAAAAAGCTTTCTTAAGAACATTCATTCATCTTTTGACAAAGTGAATAATTCTTCATAGGAATTTAAATTACCTATCTGCTTGAGGAAAAAAAAGCACCGAGGTAAATCACTTTAATTGTAATTTTCTTCTTGACCTTTTTGGAGGTCTATATTGGAAAACTTGGATACCAGTTCTTGTGCTAGGAAACTAGGATACCAACATATCTCTTTTCTTCAAAAACTGAGAGTGTGATGGACACTCGGTTGCTGTGGATGGGCTCTCTCCTAGTGGACCAACTGTTAGTGGGTCTCATGCGTCAGAAGGGAAACCAATTATGGAGAGACCAACTGGGGATGGGTTGGCTGAGGATGATCCAATTGTTGATGGGCTGACTGATGTTTATGGGCCAGTAGCTGCTCTCAAATTGGTGGACAATGTACCTAGAAGAAGAGTGGATCGTAAGGCTCAAAGGAGGAAAGCTTATGACAACTGGAAGTTGGTTAGCACCTTGGACACGTGGAAGGCTGCCCACGGAGAGGAAAAGTGGGAGAAGGAATGAGAGGATGTGAGGGATATAAGTTAGTTAGTGAGGAGTGGGATGGGTATTGAGTATTCTGGTAAAAAGGGGGTAGTAGGAGCAGTGGCATTGAGCATGAGTCTCAATGGCTGCCTAAGGAATAAAGGGTAATTCTCTTCAATCGGCCATCTGAGAGAGGAGGATATTTTCTGCTTTTAAGGTGTAATAATCCTTGTATTGTTGTGGGTTCATTTACTGTTTAAGTATATTGTTCCAGTAGTTAAATACCATTCCCAGAGATTGATTCCGTTCTTAGTTAATATTGCTTCTGTCATTTAATTGTAAGTGTTCTACTGTTGTATTCTTTTGGTGCCAACAATTTGGTATCAAAGCTCTTACGGTCGGTGGGGAGCTGTATGGTAAGGACGAGAATGGAGACTAGAGTGGAAGAAGTAGAGAGGAGGACAGAACGAATAGAGGAAAACATGGGAGAAGTCAGGATTGAGGTGCGTCAGATGAAGGAGGCACTTACTGAGTTTTTTAATAGGATGGACAATGGAAGCAGGGGATTCAGAGGAAGAAACGGAGACACAGATGCAAGGGAACATGATGGCAACCATGGTCGAGGACCGTGGGAGAGGGGAGAGGAAAGGATGTGTCGAGTGGAAGTTCCTTATTTCTCCGGTGATGACCCTTATGGATGGATATTCCGAGCGGAACGTTACTTCCGTGTGAATCACATTCCACCCGAGGAACAAGTTGAAACGGCCTCCATCTGTTTGGAGAAGGAAGCTTTAAGCTGGTTCCAATGGTGGGAACCCAGGAATCCTTTGACGGACTGGACAACGTTTCGATTGGCGGTGTTGCAACGCTTCCATGTTTCCCCGTCGGGAAATCCTTATGAAGCGTTAATGGAGTTGAAGCAATCCGGCACAGTGGCTGAATTTCGTAAACAATTCGAAGTTCTGTCGGCACCGTTACGGCAAGCGGATGAGGAGATGATGCAGGCAGCTTTTTTGACCGGATTGAAACCGGAAATTCGAGCGGAGATCCGTTTGCACTCACCAGAGGATTTGGAAGGGATGATGGTGTTTGCTCAGCGAGTTGAGGATCGCAACGCAGTGGTAGGCAAGGAGAGTGGGGATATGGGCCGAGGAAGCCACGGGCCCAATAGCCACACTAACGGATGGGGTAGGCCTGCCTTATCAAACCGTGGAGGAGCGAATACCCCAAGGGGAGTGAATTATGGGCCAGCCACAACGGCCCAAACGAATCCATCTAACATATCGGTCACACCAGTGTCGGTGGCCAGCAACACTCCCACGATCCCTAATCGACGAGTAGTGGGTACTCCAGAAGCAAGGAATACCTCCCAAACAGGAGATGCGACGGTGGGAGGATCCGAGGGCCGTAGTGGGAACCGGTTCCGGCGGTTGTCACCAGATGAGGCAGCTGATTATCGACGGCGAAACTTGTGTTTTCGTTGTGATGGACCCTATGGTCCAGGGCATGTGTGTCCGAACCCTCATCTGTGGGTTTTACTGTTGCACGAGAATGAAGATGTTCCCACAGGGGAGGAATGGGGAGGGATCGAAACAGGAGGAGAATCGGAAGAGATTCTTCAACTAAACGTCCAGAGTGTAGTTGGGTTGACCTCCAATCGATCCTTAAAACTATGGGGGAAGGTGAAGAACCAAGATGTGGTCGTACTCATAGACACGGGTGCTTCGAACAACTTCATTGGAGATGACACTGTTGACCGGTTGGGCCTTTCTCTCGATCACTCTAAAACATTTCGTGTGGGGGTAGGGGACGGAGCCCAAGTACAAGGGAAAGGGTATTGCAAGGATGTGGAATTGTTGCTGCCAGGTTTGTCTTTGACTCAGGACTTTTATGTTTTCCATCTTAATGATGTGGATGTGGTGCTGGGTTATTCATGGTTGGAAGAATTGGGGAATATTCAAGCGAATTTTAAGGAACGTATTCTCTGTATTCCATGGCAGGGGAATGAGGTGTTATTGCAGGGGGATCCGTCTCTCTCGTGTAGTAAACTCTCCTATAAGGGTATGTCACGAGCTTGGAAGAAGGGAGAAGAGGGATATTATGTGGAGTTGGGGTATTGTGTTCTGGAGGAAAATCCTTCTCAGGACCTTTCTCCACTGATCTCGGAGTTACTGCAGCAGTATCACGATGTATTTCTACCACCATCCGAGTTGCCTCCATTTAGGAATTGTGACCATAAGATATTGCTGACAGCAGGGGCTGCCATTCCTAATATACGACCGTACCGCTATCCGTACTATCAGAAGGAAGAGATTGAAAAGTTTGTGAAAGACATGTTAGAGGCAGGAATGATAAGGCCGAGCTGCAGTCCTTATTCCAGTCCCCTGATATTGGTCAGGAAAAAAGATGGAAGTTGGCGTTTTTGCGTAGATTATAGAGCTTTGAACAAGGTAACCATTCCAGACAAATTCCCACTGCCTGTTACAGATGAGTTATTGGATGAGCTACATGGAGCAGGAATTTTTTCCAAATTGGACCTGAAATCGGGGTATAATCAGATTCGCATGAGGGTTGACGACATTGAAAAGACGGCTTTTCGGACTCATGAAGGACATTACGAATATCTCGTGATGCCTTTTGGGTTGAGGAACGCTCCTTCGACGTTTCAATCCTTGATGAATGAAGTCTTCAAGCCCTTTTTAAGGAAATTCGTCTTAGTATTCTTCGACGATATTCTGATATATAGTCACAGTGAGGAACAACATTGTGAGCATTTGAAGGTTGTGCTGGAGATTCTGCGTTCTAATCACTTTTCAGCTAACAGAAAAAAATGTACATTCGCACAGTCTGAATTGGAATATTTGGGTCATTTGATCTCCCAAGATGGGGTGAAGGCTGATCCTCAAAAGTTGGTGGCTGTCAGTCAGTGGCCAGTCCCTAAAAACTTGAAGGGCCTCAGGGGATTTTTGGGGCTCACGGGTTACTACAGACGCTTTGTCAAGCAGTATGGTCATCTGGCTCGGCCACTTACCCAACTGTTAAAAAAGGATAGCTTCGTGTGGGGCGAAGAAGCACAACTTTCCTTCGATGCATTGAAGGGGGAAATGATGCAGCTGCCAGTTCTTGCCTTACCCGACTTCAACACACTTTTTGTAGTTGAGACTGATGCTTCAGGAGTAGGGATGGGGGCTGTTCTGATGCAAGAGAATCGGCCCATTGCTTTCCTTAGTAAAGCATTTTCTGATAGGGATCGGCTGCTCTCGGTTTATGAGAGGGAGTTAAAAGCAATTGTGTTTGCCGTTCAGAAATGGCGTCACTATTTACTGGGACGACATTTTTTGATTAAAACAGATCAAAGGAGTCTGAAGTATTTGACAGAGCAACGTCTAATGGTGGAAGGCCAACAAAAATGGGTTGCAAAACTTATGGGGTATGACTTTGAGATTCAATACAAGCCAGGACCGGAGAATACAGCTGCGGATGCTTTATCACGGGTAATGGATTGTAGAGAACTCACACTGCTCACAAGCCCGGATTTACAGAAGCTTTCTGATGATATATTGAGGGATCCCGCTACTAAGTCCCTCCTCACAGCTGTTATGCTGGATGCTCACTCTCATCCGGGTTATCATGTCACTAATGGTTGTCTTTAGTTTAAAAACCGTCTGGTCCTTCCCAAATCTTCTCCTCACATTCCAGTTATTTTACAGGAATTTCACTCATCACCATGGGGGGGACATTCGGGTGAATTACGAACTTATAAGCGGTTGGCGGCTATATTTTTTTGGAAGGGTATGCGTAAGGTGGTGGCTGAGTTTGTTCAAGCATGTGAAGTCTGCCAACGGCAGAAATACAGTCACTTGAAACCTGCGGGCCTATTACAACCACTCCCAATTCCCCAACAAGTATGGGAGGATATCTCAATGGACTTCATTGGGGGATTACCGAAATCATTGGGGGTTGATACAATCTTGGTGGTGGTTGATCGACTAACGAAATATGCCCATTTCGTGACTTTAAAACACCCTTATGATGCACAAACAGTGGCGGCTGTCTTCATGAAGGAAGTGGTTCGTCTACATGGCATCCCAAAGTCTATTGTTTCTGACAGAGACCGTGTTTTTGTGAGTAAATTCTGGTCTGCACTATTTCAGTTGGCAGGTACAAAATTGAGGTTCAGCTCCGCTTACCACCCTCAAACGGATGGGCAAACCGAAGTGGTCAACCGCACCTTGGAGACTTATTTGCGTTGTTTCGTGAATGGTCATCCCAAGGCTTGGGCTAAGTGGCTGTCGTGGGCGGAGTTCTGGTTCAACACATCCTTCAATCGCTCTATTAACATGACTCCTTTTCGTGCACTATATGGCCGAGAGCCACCTTCGATCATTTCATTTCCAACTACACGCACGTCGGTTGCCGCTGTAGACACCTGGCTGCAGGCACGAGATGTGATTCTCCAGGAGCTTAAAGTTAATTTGTTCCAAGCTCAACAACGTATGAAGGTACAAGCAGACAAGGGCCGCAGGGAGGAGGAATTCTCATGTGGGGAGCGGGTATACTTGAAAATCCAACCTTATAAGTTGCGATCTCTGGCCACGCGTGTCAACCAGAAACTCAGTCCGAGGTTTTATGGCCCTTTTGTGATTCAGGAACGGGTGGGATCCGTGGCTTATAGATTGGAGCTGCCTTCATATTCAAAGGTCCACCCTGTTTTTCACGTTTCACAATTGAAACGAGCTGTTCATCCTTCGGTATCAGTTTTGGAGTTACCCCGTGGGTTGTCTGATTCATTGGAGCTGCATGTTTCCCCAGCTGCAATTCTGCAGGCTCGCAACTCAGAGGATGGGCAGAGGGAGGTACTGGTACGTTGGGAGGATTTACCTGACTGTGATTGCACTTGGGAGAGGTTAGTTGATTTTCAATCTCTTTTCCCTACCTTTCACCTTGAGGACAAGGTGATTTTTGAAGAGGGGGGTGTTGATGGACACTCGGTTGCTGTGGATGGGCTCTCTCCTAGTGGACCAACTGTTAGTGGGTCT